AGTATACTATAGTATTAGTTTTTTTACTTTTACTAACTAATAAATTATAATTTTATTATTTTAGTTACTGTTAATAACAACAAACAAAAAAAAAATAAACATCCAAAACACACTAAAATTTAGTATTTTTTTTTTTTTTTTGCTCTTGATCCCTATTAAAACTTAACCTTTTTTTAATAACAGTAGAAATTCATAACATAATCATATTTATTTCAAATATGCACTTAAAAACACAAAATAATAACATACCAAAGCAGACAATGTCCCGTGACTATTATAATTTAGCTGGCTTTCTAACTAAGCCACAAGTGCTAATTCCTTTAGTTAGCTGGTCGAGCTATACTTAGCAATGGTAACTTTGAATCTGTATTCCAAATAGTTCAAAAGCTGTCATGAAAATGAGCTAGCATTATATGTAAATCGGTAATTTAAGACTTTTTATTTTTATTGGTTACAAATAATGTGCTAGGAAACAGAGAGAATTATTGACATTTTTTGAAACACTATATGTGATAGGAGGGCATGGCATACGAGTTTAACTTTTTGGTTTATATTGTAAATCTAAATGATGTGAAGGCTATAGAATTAGGTTATGTCTCGGCAATGTCTCTACTATAACTTTATAATTTCTATTAGAATTCAGAAGCTGAAATAAGTGTGGAAAGAACATTAAAGTGGGCTATTCAGTTTCATGTCATGTGGTACATAGAAGTGAATATTAAGAAAGTAAAACTTACACGATATTAAAATTTGATTTATTAACTATAGTTTAATGTCAAGTTTATTGATATGCATTAATAATGAAGTAGTGTAATTAAATTTTGAATATAACTTTGTAAGAAAATTGTGACTTAATTTTTACCTACCTGTGTCTTGAAGCTTAATATATACAAGAATACATATATGTTTAGATTGAAATGTAGTCTAGATTAAATGCTGACAGGGGGGTTATTTTTAATTCCAAAACTTGTGTGTTTTTAGTTGTTTGTTTTGTTTTCAACTAATGTATATGTATATATTGAATGTAAACAAAAAATAATGTAAGTTATTGATATCTTTGAATTTATTATTGGTAATCTAAATTAAAATATTCTACTTCAGTGAAATTAATTCATATGCTTATATAAATTAATTGAAGTAACGTAAAATCATACATATAAGTATGCACACTATTCCCTTAAAAAGTTATAATTATTTGTTACTGTAAAAAAAAAAATCAATGGATATTAAATTGTTTCATTTACATTTTTTTATGTAAAAGCGATGGGCATGGCTATTTGTGTGGAAGTACGTAATAAATAAGCAAATTTCTTCTTAAAATCTTGCATCAAGTTAATATGAGAGTTCAAGAAAAGATATATAATTATCATTAAAAAAAACATGCCATATAACAGAGTTAATGTGTGTGGGGATGGGTGATATTAGTGGTACATCACTGCCACTAAATCTCTCATCCATTTATTTATACTAACAACTAGCCCAAGCAGTTGTCACCGATCTCAACTTTAATTGTGATTTGACATTCATTGTGACTTATAATGGTGTTATTGGTATCAAATAAGGATAGACAAGGTGACAGAAGGCCAATCGTTTTAGTAGTAACATACGTAGAAAAGTTTTGTACATCTGTTGCTTTAAATCATAGGGGCCCAGGTGATTGAAACCTGGTTATGCCTTAAAGCACGCAAAGCATCTTTAGGCTATATTTTTATTTAATGATAAAAACCATAGTTTTTGGCTTTTCTTTGCATATAGACGCTTGATACATTAAGAACGACTGAAATAATAATTTGACTAATAATTAATATGTATTTGTTACTTCATAGACTTAATAGATATTTGTGGTTACTTTATTAACATTTTTACGCTTATACTGTGAGGTAAAAATGGCTGCTGCTATGATTTTGCCTAGTTTATGAGCTCGTTCCTGTCCTAATTTGGGATCTTCTTTTTAATAAGTTCATTAAAATGTTAAAAAATAGAGATAAAGGGGGCCTGGCGAGGATGTTTGCCCCGGGGCCCTTGCTGGCTCTCAACGTTCTTGGTTACAAGTTTTTGTGATGAAAAGAATCATTCATAAATCAGTTATACAGTGAATCCCCATAGTTTGGGGTTGACATTCAACTAAAAATTATAATGGTAGTTTTACTGATCAACATCAACAAAGCATTTATTGGATTGTACTTTTGCCGTAATTGCCTCAGAAATAAGAAGAGCAAGAGCCTAGTAAACACAGCAAATTGATACCAAAATGTTGAGTGGTGGATGATGATAAAAATAACTGAAATCTGAAAATAGGCAAGTTTTCATCATTTGGAGCACTGTATATATGATATACATATGTGTGTGTGTGTGTGTGTGTATGTATGTGTACATATACATATATAATGTTATCTACTAACGCTATCTGCCATGGTCAGCGGCACCTGCAGTCAACTTTCTTTTTTCACTTGTATGTACCATGGTTTTAAGAACACTGCATTAATCAATTAATCAAACATAATTGATTAATGGCTCTAATCACATAGAATTAATTTTATTTAGAAGCCTAAAATACATAAACTGAAATGTAACATACTTAATATTAACTGTTTTTCAAAGGTATATACAAAACAAGAATAACACGATTATTATAAATCTTAGATTTCCCCCTTATTACATCACAACAACAAATCTTTTTCTATTGAAAGAGACTGTTCAACAAGTATTTTTACAATTAAAGTTATGAAATATTTTAATAATCCTCTAACTGGATATATCTTCCCTGAAACAAAACTGATGAAATCCTAAGTACAAAAGACATATATGTAAGTTCTTACCTATCATGTGATCTGAGCGAATATTCACGTGGCGGTAGAGATAAAGGTAAAATAGTAGTCCTCTGATTTGCAGGAAATATTGTAGGTCTGCTAAGAGATCCATGTCCTTGCCCAATTGGAACTGGAAAAGGTATCTGTGATTATTATTGTTTACTTTTTAGTTCAAAACAAAGAAGAAAATTTCATCATCTAATAAAATTGGCTCAAAATATGCGTTGCACACAATTAGATGATTTACATCAATACTAGATTACAAATCAATGCTGCAAAGATAGATGAGGCAAGCAAGTTTGATAGCAATAGAAATCAAACTTTAAATAAAAAAACTTGTAAGGATAAAATTGGGCAGAGCACAGAGAGTTCATTATGATGTAGCATTGAGTTTAACAATTAACAGACATAACAGCAAAGTTTCTATTTCTTGGATAGTTGGAATAATTGAAAATAGTAATTATTTGAAACACTAATTTTAATTGGTGATTATTTTCGTGGCATTCAATTTAATTGTAATTTCAGTTAAACAGTTGTTGGAATAATTGGAAATATTAATTTTTGGTTAGTTTATTTATGGCAGTCGATTTAATAGTAATTTGGATTAATTGATTTAATCATGATTTTTTGATTATTTTATGTAACACTATTTAATCAGTTAGATTGCCCAGCTCTATCTGTGGGTTTAAGAAACATTTCAGAATTGTTATGCTAAAATGAAGTTTAGAATTGTTGAATAAAATAAGTTTGTTCAAAAACCTTAGAAAGGAAAATGTCAATGTAAGGTAATAATCTTGTAAAGTAAAAAAATGAAAAATTGCCTTAAATAAATAACATGCTTTTGATTTATATGATAATTAGTGTTTCACACTTGTTTTGTAATATTAAAGGAACTAGAAATAGGAGAATTAGCTTCATTAACTCACATTTGACCCTGTTGATTGTTTGTGTTTCTTGGTGTCAAAGTCAAAATGAATTAAAAATTGCTTTTTTTTTAATATACAAATGAACATGCTTAGAGGTATTTTATTTTTAACGTGTGATCATTGAGTTTATTATGAGATATCTCATTGCTTAACTTATTTTAGTACAAATTATCAAATGGAATCGAAGCTAAGGAAAATCTACCAGCATGCTGGAACCTTAACTATTGATGGAATGGTAAGCTAAGTTTATTCAGTTTTATAAAATTTGATCAAATCAAATTCAACCAGTTTTGATGATAATGCTTACACAAGTGTGATTAACATAAATGTAATGTTATACTGAAGATGCATTGCAGACATCAACTAAAAATTATGAATTCTTGATAAGTGCACAAAATAAACTACAATTTTTATATTTTTTTTAAGTGCCACCAGGGCACGGTGATTAAAATTTGAGTTGCCAGAATAAATGTTTTCGTGCTGAAAAAGTTCATCCTCAAGTATCCATTTATTGCCAGGTTTGTTTTTTTCACTTCAAATAAATGAGCATTCACAGCAAGTCTGGGGTTTTTCTATATCGGGCAAATAGCACATTGTGGCTGAAACTTAGTAGTTAGTTGATTAGCTTAAATGCAGATAGGTCTAGATTTGCATCTAAGCGATCGAATGCATAAATATCAAATTTGGCCATATTTGAATACATTGAAATTTATTTTACACCTAGGCCTAAATCCAGTGCATGGACTGTATAAATCTAGTACTATATACTCACCAACTTTCAAGTCTCAATCAATACTTTTAAGACCTTGTAAGCTTTCTGAGTTAGATTAGAATGCATAAAATAGCAAGTACTTGTAATAATAAGCAAGATTTATATGCTGTTTCAACCTATATTGGCTCGCATTTATTAACTAGTGTTGGCCCGAGGTAGACGTTATAACGTGAGACTGGGCTGTAAGTTACCTCAACTTTCTCTGTGTGCCAGAGCGAGCAGGTTTGAATCTTTGTCAAGCAACATTTTGTTCAACAGTTTACTAGAAATCAGCCAAATAATCTACAAGCTAGTAGACAATATAAAAAAAAAAGAAACTCTGCAGTTGCAATGGAAACCATGTTACAAAACAACAATCCATGGTATGATCTTGATTTATTCTAAGAGTATACTCACCTTTACAGTGGCTGGAAATGATTTTTTATGTAGTGTACAATAATTTCCACAATATTTTTCGTGCCATTTGGGCACAATTTTTTAACCTTTACGTGCCCATCATGATTTTTAGGAGCATTTGGCTCTGAGTAATTGTTACTTTTGTGTCCCGTTAGCTACTTATCATAAGTAAGAGGGTTTAGTTTTGTTATTTCTGAAAACATCTCATTAATATTGATGGTTGGTTATGTTAAATGGAAACTGCAGGCTTTTTTAGTATTGTTGTTTCCATTTTAAATATTAAATTCAAACTTAATCTTAAGGACTGAAGTGTTCCCATATTGTGCTTTTGTCAGGAGATTGAATATTATACTTAATTTCTTTAAATGTTCACCTCACTCTCCAAGTCTGTTGTTAAAATGATCTTTATATAGTCTTTTCAATTCCATGGGCTAGGCGTGGCCTAGTGATAGCATGCTTGGACCATGAATCTGAGGGACAATAGTTCGTAGCTTGTTGCTGCAAAAAAAACAGTCCACAATTAGGGGTCCAAGAGTAAGTGGTGCTGTTGACTAGCTGCCTTTCCTGTAGTGTATTAATTCAAAATTTGGGACAGTGTGTATATGTGTGTGTGTGTGAAGATATCCCTTTATGTAGCTTTGTGGGAAAATTTTGAAATGAACTAAATGTTTTAATCCCTATGTATACATAACCTTTTTTCAACTCAACAACATAAATTGTTTTGGCTGTCCGTATTAAAGTAGCAAAAAATAAAAGTATTTAAAATGATTTCCTAAAGAAACAAAGATAAAAATGTGTCTTAATTTTCACAGAAAAATTTAGTGAAATTTTCATTATTGTATACTTGTTTCCAGACGTACCACTCTTCCGTTGATGACATGATTCAGCTAGGAGAGCTCGGGACAGGGACTTGTGGTCATGTTGTTAGGATGGAACACAAACCTTCAAGGAAAGTTATGGCTGTCAAGGTAAGCCTGCATATAATGAAAATCTTGAGCTTGCATTCTTAAAGTTTTTTTTTTTTTTTTTTTCTAAATAGATCCTCTAAGAAAAAATAAAAAACAGGTTTATTTTTATGTTGGTTAATGTCAGTTTTGTTTTGTTAGTAAATATCTGCATTGGCTTCTTGATAAAATTTTGATACTAGTAAACTCTTCCGGTGAGGATATCATGAGCTCGGTGACACTGAAGTCACAAGATAAACCAACACTGTGACACGATAATCCCACGGACTATTGTTTGATTGCCATAGTGTTTAAAGTGGATCATTCAGATGAATTTCACTGCTTTAGCTACAGACTGAATTGCAGCAATTATCACAAGAATAATAGTTAAAAGTACAGAAAAATCTCTAACAAACCTTTTTGTTTTTTTTCAAATATTTATAAAATTTATACTTGTTATATTTGTGTGATGATACATCCAAAGTTAAAAATGAAATGAGAAAGTTACTTTACAATCTGTCTTTCACGTTTACCTCTTATTTATGTAGTTCGAATTGTTTAAAATTAAATGTAAGTTTCATAAGTTCTTGTAAGATTGAATACTGAGTTTTTAAAAATTAATAGAATGTAGTACTCACAAAATTATTAATATAAAAATTTAGTAAAATAGGCAAAGAAATCATTAACTTATGTTTATAAAGAGTTTAAGAATTTATTCTAGTTTAAAAACTATTTTGAGCTGTTTTATCTTATTATAAAAATAGTGTCTAGGAAAACTTTCCCAAAATGTTAAGATTAATTTATTTTAAAACAATTACAAAAAAATCAAGGAATGTTGTGTCAAAATCTGATCTTATGAGTATTTCGTATTAAGAATTGAAGATTTGTTTTTACTTGTATGTGATTCTTAAGCTAAAGAAAAATTAATTGCACAATGGAAATATATTTGACCCATGATTTCAGCTAGTTTTAATAAAAATTGACATTTTAAGTTGATTGCCTTTTGTTTGTGTTAGTCTGTTTAATTTAATGACTTGTACATTAGAATAATTTCTAACTTGGTTTCACTATCTCTAGCAAATGAGAAGATCGGGAAATAAGGAGGAGAACAAACGCATCACTATGGATTTAGATGTTGTGTTGAGCTGTCAGGATTGTCCGCACATTGTGCAGTGTTTCGGCTACTTCATTACTGACTCAGAAGTGTGGATCTGCATGGAACTTATGTCCACTTGTTTAGATAAGCTGATCAAACGCCTGAAGAAGCCAATTCCAGAAATGATTCTTGGCAAAGTAGCTGTTGCGGTAATTGTTTAGAAAAAATTATATTGAAATTGTTTCATCAGTAACGCATAATGCATGATCATAGCTCGTATAAGCATTGTGATCGTATTTTTTACTTTTACATATTTGTATTTTACCTCTTATGATATGTATTATAGGAATTTGATTTATTGGTTGAAGTTTGTAGCATCTAGAAGTAAGATTTAACTTTATTATTATTCTAAGTTTGAAATTTTTTAATCCAATAATATCTGGTTTTTATTTCATCCTTATTGAATTCTCTTCTGTGGGCCATTTGTTTGTTATCATTGGTTCAAACATTAAAAATTTGATGTCTACATTATTAGTAAAATTTGCTGCTAAGGTGGTAATATTTACTAAGTTGTTGTTTTTGGGATCTTGTAACTATAACAAAATCGAATAAGATATTATCGTAGGTGACAATGTAGCATAGTGGCTTTTCTGTGATCCAGTGCTCACCCTGTCAGTTCAGCATTGTAATTTTTTTATGACAGGTGATTATTAAAAACAAATTAATCAACATAAAGTAGTGGCAAATTTAGTTTTTAAAAAACAAAACAAAATGTAGCTTGATACGTCAAATGTGGTTTTTAATTTGGGTACCATTATTATTGTCAGTCTTATACTCAATAAAATTAGCCACTTTATATGTGACATGTCATTAAAACTGTAAATTCCACCCATCATGCTTTTAAAGTTTTATTCTGTTAGTTTCATTAATACATGTCTGATCATTGTATTAATCATGAATTAACACTGAAACTGTAGGCCGATTAATTAAAAAATATCATCAGAATGAGCTAGACTTACAGGGAATTCAGTAATTTAAAATCTTGTATTTCTATTGGTTATAAATAATCCAATGGAAAATATCAGAGAGAGAATTATTGACATTTTTTTTGAAAGACTGGGTGTGATAAAAGCAAAGCAAGAAGATTGAAAGCTTTAAATTTACATTGTGTCTTAGCAGTATCTATAAATTGTAATTTGTGCCAAGCTCAGAAAACCGAAAATGGGCAATTCGGAGCTAAGAATTGTCCCATGATACAGAGAAGAAAGGGTTAATAATTTATTTATATATTTCCTTTTGAAATTAAGAAATGAAAACTTATATTTTATATTAAAATTTGAATTATAAACTATGGTTGATGCCAGGTTTATCGTTATACATAAATATTAAAGATTTGTCTATAAATTTACATAACCTCTGCTGGCTTAGTTTCATTAGCTTCAAAGAAATTATCAGTGTACAGTGAAAGGAAAAGTTCAAAAATGTGGAATAAAGTTAATAATACCATTTTTCCCTCTGTACTGACTGCAGCATTGACCTGAATGTTCCAAATTACTTATCATGACAATTTTAACTTTTAACCTATCTTATCTGCTTCCTTTATTTTTATGGTTTTATTGCTGTTCTTTGTATCCACTGGAGCATTAATCCTTGTGTCAATAAACAATAAACCATAGCAGCTGTCCATTAGAGCAGCACTTCCCAAACATTCAGGATCTGTGTGACCCCCATCTGTTTAAAAATGTATTTCAACTGCTCCTTTCTGCTTTGCTAAATATGAAGTTTTTTATGTCACATTTGCTCTCAAGCTCATGAAATTTTAAACTAGAATTTTGTTAAGCTAAGCTGAGAAGTTTCTGATTTTTTTTACATTTTAGTTATTTTTGTTGAAAAATGTACAGCAATACATAAGGTATATACATAAAAATAAGGATTTGTAAAACTTACTGTATACTTAAGCTATTTTGCACTCTAGTAAAAAGTTTAGTTGTTTTTCTGTAAGCCTTGTTATGTCACCCAAATTTTATGATTCAAAAAATGTATATAGTTTTTAGATATGTATTTTAGAACATAAATTATCTCGGTCACTAAAATAGAATGTCCCTAAACTACTATAATTTATCTGGCTAGATAAACTTACTTTAATCTTGCCTAAACGAATTTCAAGTGCCATGCCTATTGAGGATTCCCTCTTGTTAATAGGGAGAGAGAGAATAGCTTGAAGTCTTAAGGCTTTATCATATGTACTTTTATTTTCTGAATAAGGTTTTTATGATTGTCGAGTGTTGTATTTGATTCTTCATGTTTGTAAATTACAAAATAATAGACTGAATAAGCTTATTTTGCTGTATTTTTCACACAGTTTCTACTCTTTCCTAGACTGTGAATGCACTTCATTATCTGAAGGAAAAACATGGCGTTATTCATAGGGACGTTAAGCCTTCCAACATACTGCTTGACGAAAGAGGTGTGATTAAGTTGTGTGACTTTGGGATTAGTGGACGATTAGTGGATTCAAAAGCCAAAACCCGTTCTGCCGGTTGTGCTGCCTATATGGCTGTGAGTTGAATTTCTTTCAATTGCTTCATTTTTTTCTATCATGTGGCAAAAATATCAGTTTTTAGAATAGAGACTTCTTTGTTCAGTGAATTACTACCACTGTGGCTCAGGAGTGATCTTGAGGGCATACGATGCTAAAACTTGTTGTCCAGTTTGGAGCTAGAATAAAGAAAAGAAGAAAAAATTTGGGGGAAGTCTTATAAATTAGTTCTGAAAACCACATTACTAGTTTTCTAACTTATTAACTCTTTACAGTTAATTAGCATTATGCTGGCCATTTATGCATATGCATTCTTAAAGTTGTTCTTATCTATATTTTTTTATATTATACTTGGAGGTTGTTCAGGTCTTGAGTAACAAATCCCTTACCCATGATATTAGCTGGTCATAGTATAGATATTGTTACTTAATGTAGGCTTATATGTTTCATGTTTAGGAGTTTGCATACAAGTCAGAATATAGGAAATTATTAAGAATTGGTTATTGAAATGAATTGCCTATTAATAAACAAGATATATAACTAATTACATTTTGTATTATTAATAATTTTACTTAAAACATTTTAGTTATTTAAAATATTATGTCATATATGTTTTTTAAATTAAACACATGTTTGATTCTGGTCTTTAACTAACATCTGTCACTCATTTATATATAAGGGGTTGATAGATGTATTCTTTACTTATTTACCAATTTCTATCAATACACACGATTTGTAAGAGTATAATTTTTGACGATCGTGGTTTGTTTTACCTTTTGCTTTCTAGCCCGAACGAATAGATCCTCCTAATCCTAGTAGGCCAGATTACGATATTAGAGCCGACGTCTGGAGTCTTGGTATATCTTTGGTAAGATAGAACAGTTTCTAATCCATTATTTATTCTTTGTCAAGTTAATTTATCTCAGAAGTAGGAAACAAATCAATGAAAAATTAAGTTGATTCAGTATTTAGTTTCAAAAATTTTCATTTTTTCAAAGCAACTTGTTGTTCCATTTGAATCACCTTAAATATTATTATTATTGTTTGGTTATAGTACTTTAGATTAATTTGGTGTTTTAAAATCAAAATGAGATCCTTATTTTTTTCCATCCAAAATGTATTCTTAAAAGCTAAGGTTTTTTAAATTACTTTGACTTTATATAATGAGTTTAAAGTTACTTTAATAATTGTATGTTTCAAGTTTTTGTTTATTTGAGTCCATGCTGACTTTAAGATCAGTTTGGAGATAGTAAGTGTTACATAACTTTTTCAACTGTTTCGGGATAAGGGAGAGATATGGTCTCCTGAGATATGGTAAGCAGGTGTATAAGGGAAGTTTGGGTACAGTGGGTATCTTAGGTGGTTTGACAAACAAATTAGTTAGGAATTAGGAAGTTATTTTCTCCAAGAACTAATTCCTAACTCAAATTACCGATATTGACAAGCTAGAATATAAAATAAGAACCTTGTATCTTTTCTATTTGCTGAGATGTCACTCATGTACTGAATCAAACATAGTTGCCCCGCTCACCTCTTTCTATTTTTGGAAACGGTCCATTATATACACTTCAGTATATGAGATGTGAATAACCAATCAAAAGCTCAGAATGTCCCCCTAGTGGCTTTCTTATGTGTTAGGACACTATCTTGTTCTTTCGAAACAAGATTTCAAGGAGGTAGATTGTGTCTTTAGTCTGCTCAAAATTTCATATTTTTTTAGACCCAAATACAGCCTAGGTACCACACTTGATAAATTATAGTGGAATTCTATGGTATTAGTATAATAATTTATGATTTTTGGGTTATCCAACTATATATATAAAAACCTAAAAAAAATTATTTTGTTTCATATCCTCCATGTATGAAATTTTACAAGGTTTAGCAACCTACGTCAAGCAGCAACTGAGTACAAAGGTCGTAACTAGAAGAGATAATTGTTTGCTTTGCTTCTTTATTTACTGTTCTGTGTTTTAAGAAAAATAAGTTTAAGAATTTATTTCTAAATTGTAATTATACATATATAATGTGACTAATAACGTACATGATATTTTGAAAGATGTTCTGTGAACTTGTGAAAAATTAAGCATTTTAAAAATGCCCTAAAAATCTGAAACCATGAACTGTAAAATGAATTGGCTTAGAACTTGTTAAATGCCCCCTGTAAAGGATTTATTGATATTATGTCAAATAAAACAAGATAAAAGGCTGATTTTTGTGCAGCACCAATAACTTAGAACCATTAAGACAACCAGTGGCTTCATTAGGATGTGTCCCTGTAATGAACAGATTTTGATGCACTTTATTATAATAATTGTGACTCTGGAGTGGTTTATTTTATTTTCAACATGAAGGTAAAGTCAGGCTTATAAAGGAAAATGTATGAGTAAATCTAAAAAACACAGCATTGATTCTATGTTTGTAAGTTATGAACTTACATCATCGAGAAAGATATACGTTTAGGATATACTGTAGATATATGTTCAGGACATCTGTAGCAGTACACACACACACACATACACACACACTGACTGCTCTTTTGCAGTTACTTTTTATAAACAATAACAACCAAGAATTAAAATAATTTAACTTTGGATTCTTTTATTAAGCCATAGTTTTTATAAAAACATTTTTCATCCAAGCTAGATTTGGTAGGTTATTAAAAGGGTAATACCGGGATCGGATTGGTTACCTTATTATAGGTTATCTTCAAGGATATTTTATACACATATTTAGTTATATAGATTTGTATTTGTACAAATGAAACCAACAATGTGTGTGTGTGGCCTCTCTCACTTTCCCTGGTTAATCTTTAAAACAGCCTAGCAACACTAAACCCGTTTGTTAACTTTTTGTTCGTTTTTAATTTCTACTAAATTTGAACACCTAGCTTGTGTGTTATTATTGATTTTAAGTTTTAATCTGGCCACGTTTTGTTTATCGGTGAAGGCAATTAGTTATATCTACTTCTTGAAGCACAAAAGTGTTGTTTTACTGTTTAAAGGTGGAACTAGCAACAAACAGGTTTCCGTATCAAGGATGTAACAACGACTTTGAAGTTCTCAGTAAAGTTTTACAGGAAGATCCTCCTCATCTACCATCAGATGGAAATTTTTCTCTAGATTTTTGTAGCTTTGTTAATGATTGGTGAGTTTATGTTTTTCATTTGTAAAAGTAATTTATGATGGGGTGTTGAAGATCTGTGGTTTTTTTGAAGAGGAAGTTTGTACCTGGCTCTTTTAATTATGATTTCTTTACCAAATATACAAATTTATTGAACAAATGAAAAACCAACAATGTGTGTGTCCTCTCTCACTTTCCCTGGTTAATCTTTAAAACAGCCTAGCAACACTAAACCTGATTGTTAACACTTTGTGTTCATTTTTAATTTCTACTAATTTTGAACACCTAGCTTGTATGTTATTATTGATTTTAAGTTTTGTTTATCGGTGAAATCAATTAGTTCTCTGGAAATCAGTTGTTTAATATTTTACGAAATTTTTTTTATTTTCGTTACAACTATCATTTTAATATATTTTCCAGTTTAATCAAGGATTATGAAAAAAGGCCAAAGTATCGTAAACTTTTGGTAAGCTGCTTTTTTTTTTTTTTTTTTTTCTTGTGTAGTATTATATCATTCAAAACCAACTTATATTTTTAAATATAGATATATACAAGATCTAAATTTTGTCATTTATTTTAAGTTAACTGTAATCGGATAACACCTACTTAACATTTTTTAGAATGTAGTAGGTGATGAAACCAGTTCACGGTATTTCAATTCATGGTTTACTTTACCTACTATCTATGTATTTGTTAAAATGTATTGTAAAATATCTAAAGTTTGTTGATCTATGTAAGATCAATTTGAATTACTTTTTTAATGTGGCTTAGAACCAGTTTCATGCATTGTCTTGCCTTTAAAAAAAATATCAAGGTAATGCTATCATTTGGGAAATTATGGATACCAAAATGTCCTTTGCATTGCCCACCATTGCAAAATCTTTAAAAGTTTGAAGTTTTACTCTTAGACTTGGCTGAGTGTGGCCCTTCATTTAATGTTCTGGACTATGGATCTGTAGTTTGTATCTCATCAATGGCCAAAAATAATCATACACCACACTTTGAGCCATGGGTGCTCTATAAGAGTGACAGTCAAATCCAACTATTCATTAGGAGAAAAGTAGCCAAGGGATGGTAGGTGGGTGCCGCTGTCCCCATAGTCTTATCAGTTCCAAATTAGGAAGGGCTGGCACAAATAACCCTCCTGTAGCAAAGCATAAAATTGAACAATATTGTAAACTTATTTGTATAGAATGGGTAAGAACTTTTTATTTCATTTTTTTTATTTAGCATTATCTATATGAATTCTGAAATTATGTATTTTCCCATAAATATTTCTTCTTTTCCAGTACAATACATCTAAATATTTTTAGTTAAATTTGAAAAACTGTTGATATGCTCTGTTAGTGACAGCATTCCAGTGTCACTGTGGCTTCTTCCAATTTTATTCTTTCTTTCTCTTCTTTTTCTTTCTTTCTTTTCTTTTTGGTGGGAGTAAAATTTTGGGGGTTATAAAACATATAATTAGATTTAAATCCAATCTGGTCTAGAGAGTGAAAGTTAAATTATTCTGCATTGTTGCAAGACTCAAACATGAATATTAAGATTTGTTACTTGGTGTATGATCTTGTTAAGTTAAGCAGTAGTTGTTATAAAAGTTTTTAGTTTCACTATAAGTTGGCCTCTGTAAGATGGATTATACCTGCGTATGATATTAGAAACTAGTGTTAGAAACGTATTACAAAGATATAAACTGTATAAGCTACCTTTTTATGTTTTGTTACATAGAACAGGGAGTAGTTGTGATCACAATGACAAATGCCGATAGTCTTATTTATATCTTCAGTTGGAATTTCCAGTAGTGAGGAAGCATTACCGTATGTACTCCTTTACTGGTGGCATGTTGTTCTGTAATAGTAAATTTGAGCCATGTTAACTAAAACGAATTAGTTGTTTTGTGTTTTGAAATGTGTTTTTTGAAGCAGAATGTACATATACATTTTATACTGTAGTGAGTTTAGTGAGATGAAGACTTGTTTAATTTCTTGTCATGCTTTGTTAAAATTAATTGTTGACTGTGTGTCGAAGTTTGAGTTTGTAAATGCGTGGTGAAAGTTCTAACATTGTTTCTTAACCTTAACTTCAGGAGCATCCTTTCATTAAGCGAATGCAGAACACTCACGATGGTGTTGCTGCTTGGTTTGCTTTTGTAATGAAAACCACAGAACTGCCAGCACCTTCCCCTCTACATAATCACTGGAACAAATGAAGGCAGTCAAAGAAGTCCATCCGATGTGTTATTCAGTTGCCAAAAGTAGTGTTACTGCAGCAGGCATGCGGTAAGAACACCAACCTGCTGGACATTCCTGTTGGACTAGGGAGGGATGACAGCCACACACTTTGGCCATCTTAGATGTAGAAAGAGCGATATTCAAAACACTTTAAAAAGGTTTTAGTAACCATGTGGCTTATTAAAGGATGCAAATTTATCTCATTTGCAGTAAAGAAGTAACAAACATCATTTTTGAGTGGAGTTGTTAAAGAAAAGATGTAACTGTTGATGGGTATCATTAGATGTGTGTTAAGGACATATTTTGTATATACACATATATATATATCTAGACATGAGAGATTATTCAAATTAACTTCTCAATCTGTACAGAGGTTATTGGCACCTTGTGGTGTATTTGGGAGTTGTTTAATACTAATTCAGAAAAAAAAAACGAAAGAAATTTTAATGTAAACTTGAGAATTTAAGTAAAATTATTTAAAAGTAGATATTCTAGATTAAGTACATTACTTTTTGTATGCCCTGACTTTGTGATCATGTATCGAAGCTGAACAGAAAAATATCTAGGAAAGTCCAATGGTCTGTTTTCTCTGTGTGAACTACCTCGGCTGATAGCCTCAAATATATTTATTCTCTTAAAAAAAAGAAAAAAAAAAAGAGGGTAATGAATAAAAATGAATTCCTAGTTTTTCAAACGTTAGGTTATTTTTATTGTGCAGTAATTTTAGTTGTGTTTGATATATGTGTAGGAGAACAATTTTCATCAAAAGACAATTCATGAAAAAAAAAAGTGAAGCAAGCTGAAAATATTTGAATTATGTTTAAAAAATATTCATGCTTTTTTTTAGAGAAAGAGAAAAAAATACGGACGTATCTGTGACATACTGTTAATGTAGGTTTCAACAAGTCCATAAATTTTCACTTTTAAGTGCCATCACAGAATGTTTAATAAGTTTAGTAAGGAATTACCAAAATGAAAGAAAAAAAAATGATAGTGAAACGCTGACTTCTTTAGTTATTGGCATTCATTATAACTTCATATGAATCTTCAATTTAACTGTTGTTGATAAGTTATATTATATGAACTTATCCACTGGAACAAAAGGATTTTTTTGTGTGCAAATTTGAGAAATTTCAGTATTTTTTTTTTTACGTTATAGGACTGTCTGTTTCATATCTGCTCTGCTTGTAACTTTGTGTTTTCTCTGTAATTTATACCAGATTTGATTTACTGCATCAAAGCTCCTGTAAAGTAGACTATTTTATTTATATTGGGTGTTACCAACTGTCAGGCCAAGGTTAAATCTTGTGTGCATAATAAGCTTTGTTAGGTGTGTATTTTAAGCAGGATAAATGATTATGTATTAAAAGAGAGCTTTATTTATGGAGTTCGTATAGAACTTGGAGCTAAATATACTAAATAAATGGTCTTTGTTAGTCATTTAGTGATTCTTATTTCTGTGCCACATGTGAATAAAGAAACAAGGAAGACCAGTAAGGTCTTATTTTAAAAAAATAAACGAGAACAAAAACACCACCATCCAAAATATATTGTTGATGCCCAGCTATAATTCTTACTTAAATTATTTATCAAATATTTAATGGTTTGTTTTGGTTAATTTTTTTAAGATTATGTTTTTTAATCTCTTAATCTAAATTCCTATAAATTATTTTCAATAAAAGCTAGTATTTTTTATTGGAAGTTTTAAGCTAAAATCATTTTGGTTTTTAAGAAGCACTAAAAGCATTACGGATAGTTATGGCTTGCTTGAGACTTAGTACGTGACAATCTAGAAGTGTTAGAAATGTATTTTGTCATTAACACACATAAGTAATTGTGCTGTTATAATTTTAAACTTGAATTTGAATATTTGAAATTAGCATGCGAGTGGTGAAATATATATGATTTAGTATAGGCAATGTATTAAAAGTCTTGTTGGACTTTCGACTAAAGAGTTTCAAACTACATAAGACCTGTGTCAGCTGAGTGCTTGAAGCCTATAAGTGAAGATAAAAACAGAGTTACTGGAATGGTGTAATACGTTGTTTTAAGAATTTGCCAAATTGATCATACGATTGTTAACATTTTTTTGACAGAATAACTAAAATCAAACTCCGTTATTAGTATTTCTCAGTTCTGGTGAGAAAACTAACCTGTAGTATTATTACAGTGTCATTTATTTGATTGTTTTATTTTTTCTTATGTGCCAGTGTCAAAACAAGTGATGAACGTCATTTAAGTATTATTGCTTACTAGAAATACAAACATTTTAAAGTTACTTCCAGTTAGACAAGCCGCTTCAGCATAGTTTAGCAGAATCAACTAGATTCAGCTGTTGTTGACAACTACATATACTACTCTTGTGTTTATACAACTGAAAAAAAAATCATAAATTTATTATCAGATATTGCATTTTATACAGAAAAATTAAAATGCTTGAAAATGAAGCCCGACGATAAAGATGAAGGCAGTTGATAAGACACGAAACATTTTCATCAGTAGCTGCTTTCTTTTTTTTTGTAGTATTTGAAATTAAACAAGCATGAAATAAGAATATATTTGTTCAGTATTGTATAATCAACAATCCTGAATTACGTCTAAGAGAACGAAATATAGTTTAATTACAAATGGTGTGAAACATTATAAATTAAACCATAGTCTGTGAGGAGAAATTAGGTAGTATCTTTATCTTTTGCTATTATATATATATATATAAGAAGTAAGAATATTTAAAATACTAAAAGTTTTTTTAATGCTGTATAGGTAATTGCTACTGTAGGAGTGGAAATTAGTGTCATACTTAGGATTTGGAAATTTGAATCTGTTTCTTATACAGAATTTTAAACATATAACTTTATTCTATTAGTAACGGTGTTAATTACTGATGTAAGATGAAACTTTTTGTATGACTAGTCTATATTTCTGATTTAGTTTGATGCCATCAGACACCACTGTAGTCTTTGTAATTTTTTAAACTTGTTTTCATTTGATTTTTTTTTTTGTAATGTTAGACTAGGGAAAAAGCTACAGTAATAGTGAAAACCTAGAGAGTTAACTTGTTTCCGTACAAACTTTCCAACAACTGCATAAGTACTTAATTATTACGTAATCTCGGTAAATGATGGAGAACACTAACCCAATCGCAGCACAATGGCATGCAGAAAGTACTGGAAGCAGTTTCTTTTAAATTTGAAATGAAAGTTTTGACATATGTCTAGCATTTTTATTAAATCCTCTAAAGGGTTAATGATTACTCCAAATAATACTGAGTATCTATATCTAGCATTTATATTTGTAATTATGAATTAATAAGTTATTAATGCTCTATAAATTACATGGAAAAGTGATCCTTTTTATTGATAAAGAACAAAATAATTACATCTTAAAAACTCCGTAACTGTTGTACACTCTACTAAAGTAAAAATATTAATGAATTGGATTTGAATTCATAGTGTTGATTCAGTTATTTTGATGTACTATTCTACCTTGAACTTTTTAGAATATTATATTTCTTTGCCATTGAATAAGTTGAGATTTTTTTACAAGTATCCTTTTCCTCTTTTTTTTTTTTTATTGAATTTCAGAAAAAAAGGTGGAAAAGAGAAATTTAAATGTTTTTTACTGCTTTATTTAGTTCTTTTCAACTCCTTTGAAGGAGGATTTGGAAAGAGCAGATTCATCTGATTTAAAACAAATGATGTAGATAAGGATTACGAACTGTAATGGTAAATTAATCAAAGACTACTTTCTTTTGCTATGAAAGTTATCAAACACATTTGATGGACATATTTTTCCTTTCCCATAAATTTTTTAATCCTGCTCCTGCTTGTATGTACTTCATACCAGTAAAAGGGGGAAGGGGGGGGGTTCAAAAACAAGTAATGTAGTGTTTACTACAGCATTTGATTATATATATATATATAGTAAGGTTTAAGAATTTTAAAACAGATCTTTCTATTATTATTCCCCTCTTTTTACAAGATACAATAAATGCTAATTTTGTGTAAATTAAAGAAATAAAACATGAAGGGGAGGGGGGCACTTAATTTTCTCCAAGAACAACCGTAACATTTTAAACAGTAATGTTGGTAAATTAACTTTGCAATTAACAAAACAAAACTAATAGTTACTTTGGGGATAATGGCCTAATAGAAAGGTACGTAATTTATTTATTATGAATAATGCTAGTGGGGTTTAAATGATGGATAAAACGTTAAAATTAGTCACTGCTACCACATATTATAAAAACTAATTTAGTGAAAGTGTTTACTAATTAATTCATCCTCGGACTTGTGCTATAGCAGCTACATTCTTCTCTAGTATAGTGAGTGCTGTATAGAAATAGACCGTTTTTCGAGAAGCATGTTGACTTAAGTTGTTAATATTACACTTTTAAACAAGATGGTATACAATGATTATATTTGAGGTAGTTGATATCTAAGAAATTGACCGTTTAACTAATATGGATCTAAATTTTTATGCTCTTCTATAACTAATAACTGTGAACATGTTTGAAAACATTGGATGAAAAGAACGTTACTACTTAGACTAAAATGGTAGCTTAACCTTATCTTTAAATCTCTTTCTACATTGAGTTATTATTTTTCAGGTGAATGGATCTCAGTGAGACCTGACATTTTAACTTTTATATAAGCATGTTTTTTTTTTCTATGTCGAAGGTATCTCTTCAAGTTAGCAGTCTTGTTTTTCGAATTTGTTGAATGCTTTCTGTAGTGATATACTTCAAATTTATTTTACATTGTATTTAAGCAAAACAAGTGAATCATTAAGTAAAAAATTGTGTTAAAAGATGTGTTAAGAAAAATCACCGAGTAAAAAAATGTGTTAACTTTATTTTTACAATATAATTTTTTTAACAGTTGGAAAATTTAGAAATTATATTATTTACACATCATGGTCGATTACAAAATAAACCGTTCTAAATCATGTGTGCTTAGATTAAGGATTAACAGAAGTTACAAAATAAACCGTTCTAAATCATGTGTGCTTAGATTAAGGACTTAACAGAAGTTACAAAATAAACCGTTCTAAATCATGTGTGCTTAGATTAAGGACTTAACAGAAGTTACAAAATAAACCGTTCTAAATCATGTGTGCTTAGATTA